ATAGGTGTTAACAAAATGTCACGACTGTGAGACAGTCGAGAACATGGTGACATTCTGTTAACACCTACATAAACAAGACTATCTCGCAATCACATTTGTGACTTTACTTCCAAATAATTTTATTAATGACGAATTGAAACCACAATCTTTCTACTAAACAGATTTGTAACGTTAGCACTAAAGATGGCTGAATGATCAGCCAAAACGTTTGACATCGACAATGCCCTAACAATATTCGTTACTATGGATACTGATACTTCTATCAAACATCGATAACAGATGTCTAATAGACATTTATGATGGATTTATATCGTCATTTATCATGGAAATAATATGGATTTCTAATAGAAACCTATCCAATATCCATCGTAGAGATAGATGTAGTATGGAGTTATGGAGATTATATGGACGTCCATTGGATATTATGTTCCATTTGGGACGCGTTTTTTTATTTCAATTTTATCATTTTGTTATCGTCGCCTTTCCGATTTAAATAAATTAATTTTACTGTTATCAATAAATATGCTATTCAACATCTTTAATCTAATATTTACAACATGTAACCCACTTGTCCATAATTTCTTTCATAATTATCCACATATTATCACTTTAGCAGACCTGATAATTTTGTAGATAATTTATTGTTAATTTCATGACATGCAACATATAAAGTTTTTGTGAAATAGTATATATTTGTTCTACTTTGTAGATATTACATACGTACTTTAGAATCGTCCAAGCATTACATATAGGGGTGTCACCATGTATTAGACGACAAATATATAATCTGTATCCTTCTGGTGTTAATTTTGGCAAACATATATTCTGACTAAAATAAGTAAATATTTAGAAAAATATTATACGTGTTTGTGCAAATACAAAAATAGATTTTAAATTATCAGTCAAAGAATTTTTGCAATTAATATAATTATTTATTAATATTTATTGTTTATTATTACAATATTATAATTAAAATTTTTAATCATACTATTTTCTATATTTAAAATATTTTCTATAGCAATATTTATAAATTTAGAAATAATTTATGATTGGTTTAAGTGCTTACAAGTATGTGTGAAAAAGATTTATATCATCGCTGAACGGATCGAAATTTTCGTAAAATTCTGGAACCAGATTGCGAAGAGTGTAAAGCGTATCCAATTTTTTTTTGGCTTTTTCAAAATTAAATTTTACAGCATAAATAAAAAATTTTAATCGTTGGTCAGAGATATCTGTAAAATAATATTTGTTATTATCTTAATATATAGGGTGTCCCTAAAATTTTGACAAAGCGCTTGACGCGATCTTTAGTAATTAATAACTCGTTAACTGTTGCGAAAATTCCAAAATGGTACAGGACTTTTCGATTCAGTTTAGTCCGTTCTATCTGCATACAAGTGCTTTGTCAAAATTTTAAGGACATCCTGTATAATATAAAAAGATGATAAAGAAATTATAAATAAAACATTGTGAAATTGTTTATTATTAAATGTAGATATTATGATTATTAAACTAGTATATTTTTTTAGATTTTTAGATAATAATTAACGAATTAATCGATAAAATTGATTAAAAATTAGAAATACAAACCTTGAGGAAGATGACTTTGCTGTTTCAGCCACAGTCGAAATTTCGATAACAACTCTTCCAAAAGCTTTTCGTCTCCACCACTATTCTTCAGAACTTCTTTAAGCGTAGGTACTTCGAGCTTCAACATTTTTGTTATTGTTTGTTTCTTCACCAAATTGTTTCGTATATATACAAACTGAAATTACAGATATTTTGAGCTACATGCTTTTATCACAGAATAAAATTAGGAATAGAATTTTATTTTGCATTCTATATTATCTCGCGTGTTATACATTGGGCAAAATGAAATAGGAACTAATAATTATGAGACATTATTATTAATATTACATTACATATAATATTACATACGAAATATTATATTAATATTATAATTTATCTCCAATGATAATCCCACTGACTTAGTTGTTCATAAAATATTAATAATTTTTTATAGTCGCGATAAGATTTAAACTTAAAATTTATACGAGAATTAAAAAGTACACTGGAAACAGATCTGACGATTAGAAACATTACATTTCTTTGCTAGCGTCTTTTATACGTTATCCTCGCTCTATACCAGTGCTCTCAGATGTGTCCGGATAGGCGCAGCTGGCTTCTTATTCGGATCTTTAATCTGGCAGTTCTGGTGCAACTAGAGCACTAAAGGTGTAGTCAGACATGTCCAACGCCTGGGGAGTAACGCTAAGAGCCTTCCCTTTCTCCGACGTCGCGCGAGATATCATATCTCTCTCAGCGCTCCCCATACTAGTTACGACATACGCTCCGACTACCGTGCAAAGAAATAGTTATGTTTATAAACAGATCATCCAGTTTAATACAAAGGTCGTAAGAACAGTTTCGGGTTACTCTATACTCCTTCACTGTTCGATCAAGCTTTTCACTTGTTAGTGAGGTGCAAGGGAGGAACACGAGACTTCGATAGTAGGGATCGGCGGCTCTTTTCCCCGCACTGCACCTCGCGCTGACAGTCGAGCGGCGAGCATCTGGAGAAGGGGAAATTCTCGCTCTCCACTTTGGCTCCGGAGCCGGCGTTTGGACAAGATCTATATAGAGAAGGTTACCTCAATTAAACCGGTTGAGGGCGACGGACGATGAAGTAAGGGGGGAGCTAGAAACAGCTTGATGGCGAGGAGCGATGAAGGAAGGGGAGAGCTAGAAACAGCTTGATGGCGAGGGGCGATGAAGGAAGGGAGAGCATGATGATCTCATCGACAAACAGTAGCTGTCTGAGATAGCTTCTGTTCGCCGATGAGATCATCATTGCCCTTCTTGCCGCTCGCCCCTCTCTGCATTTGCTCCTCTTGCCGCTCGCCTCTCTCTGCATTTGCCTCTCTTGCCGCTCGTCCCTCTTTGCGCATGAGGTAACCTTCTCTCTATAGATCTTGGCGTTTGGACACACGGACTAAGGAATAGAAGGATGGTGCACAAGCTGTACCGGGGGAGCACGTTTGCGGGTGGG